GTTCCAACTCATAGCAACCCAGTATAGGGTTTCCAAGGCATAGCTGGTAGTTTTGAACATCTGACCTTGTGGTTCACAGTCCAGTGCTGATCCTACAACATCATACCAAAAGTCCAAATTGTTTTTAGCTTTCCACAATAAATAGAAAACTATGTCAGGAATTTGGTTTAGGTATAAACTGATGATTAGTATAATAGCTGCCATTTGATGGTTTTACAGATAGACAACTGACCAGACATAGAGAAGATTTGATCACCTTCATGTTAGGAATAGTTCATTTCTTTCTTTCTTTTTTTACTAAGGCTGTAGTGTCCATAAGCAAGAGATCTTGAAAGGAAACTGAGAAGATCATTTCATGAGTCAAGTATGGAATTTGACTCTTTTTATGCATGGTGAGGTTGAGATTTATGCCAATGTCTCACACAAACTACCAAGATTTGCTTTGTTATTTGATTTGTCCATTCGTTCATCAAGTAGTTATTGAATGTTATTATATGCCAGGCACTATTGTGGGAGACTTGATGTAGCACTGTGGGCTAATGTGCTGGACTGCAATGCTATTTTGAACCACAAGGTGGGTGCTTCAGGCTCACCAGCCGCCCCTTGGAAACATCATCGCTATGGGTTGGAACTGATTTGATGGCACTTAACAACAACAACAACAGCATTGTAGGCACTGGTGATCTACCATGGATGCCTCAGGAAATAAAAAATACTTGTCCTCAATGAGCTTACACTCTGAAAGTGACAAAAAGAAAAGCAAATAAACAAATTTAAGTCAGATAATGATAAGACCAGGAGAGAAAAACCAATTGTGGGTTTCAGGTTCAAATTCAAAGGGAGTGATCAAGGAGGAATTCATTGTGAATGTGATCTATAAAGAGAGAACGGGGAGATGTGCAACATGGAAGGACTGCCTTGTTTCTCCAGGTCTTGACAAGTGCACAGCTTTGTCATTTTCTATCACTCTCTATTGGCTGCGTGCCATGTTTGACTCACAGTGACCCTGTATAGGGTTTCTGAGACTGTAAATCTTTACAGTAGGAGAAAGCTTCATCTTTCTCCCACAGATTTGAACTATGACCTTTCCATTAGCAGTCCAGCTCATAATCAACTATGCTACTAGGGCTCCTTATCACTCACTATTAGTGAACAATATTTTAGCTTTCCTTCTATTAT